ACAGTTAACAGTTAACTATTGTTGAAAGCACAGTTAACAGTTAACAGTTAACTCTTGTTGAAAGCACAGTTAACAGTTAACAGTTAACTATTGTTGAAAGCACAGTTAACAGTTAACTCTTGTTGAAAGCACAGTTAACAGTTAACAGTTAACTCTTGTTGAAAGCACAGTTAACTCTTGTTGAAAGCACAGTTAACAGTTAACTCTTGTTGAAAGCACAGTTAACAGTTAACATTTAAAACTAAATATATCGTTTATGAAGTTTCGTGGGAACCCTTATTGTGGCGGTTATAAAGCGGACTATAACGGTGAGTGAAGTGTTTTGGAAGTAGCAGTTTAAAGAAAGGACCAGTTTCAGGTAAATGGTAAATATGAGCACCAGTGTTTACTGTTTACCAGTGTCGCCCGTAAAGACTATATTTACCAGTTGTAGTCACAACGACTATATTATATTGTTTAAAGTGTGTGTGTTCAAGTAAAGGGTTTATGATGTGTGCAGTATGAAACAGCGCAGGGTTAAGGTGTCAGGCAAGGTGTCAGGCAAGGTGTCGCACTTACTTTGTAAATGAGGTCTGTTAAATTGAATTGGTTAAAATTGTGTGTTTATCAGCAGATTTGCTTGTTCTGTGAACGTTCAGTGAACTGAAATACAAGTTTCACAGCTCAGTTGAAAGGATTATACATTATTGTACATAGCTCGCATTTCCGGACTTCGATAACACTTTTAATAATCCTGAACTACTCAAATGAAAGTTGTACATCATAACTCATACAGTTAGAGCGCCGGCAGTACAACATCGTTCTAGAACATTCTACTAAAATCAAGTTCTTCACGAGATGTGTTTTACGAATTGTAACGACGGTTATTTTAAACACCTGCTACTTCGTGGGATACGGATAAAAACAGTCTGGTTCAAAGTCGACATCCTCGGAACATGACAGACGAGTTGGCTCTTGTGATTGGTTGGAATCAGGTCACGTGGTGTGATTACTGGTTTCTGATAGGTCGATATTGTCGCCTAAACAAGGTTCCCAGACGGTACGTACTACGTAACCCATCTCTCCAAGTCAATTTAAGCTTCCTGTACTCTTGTTAGTAATTTATATACTTATATAGGCACATCAAAAAGTTAAACACCAAACATAAATGAGTGGAGTTACAAGATAAACCATTCATAACTCAGCAGATATGAGATATAATTCACATCTGTTTAAATGGCTAACTTTTTAAATTCCACATATTCTTAAGAAGTAAGTAATGGTTAATCTACGGTGTTTGAATTACATTAAAATTACAGCACATACCTTTTATTTGGAAATAGTTCTGTACTGTATTTAACTAAATATATTGTACAGTATGTACACAGAGCTGTTATGTATCACAGTAGTCATTAGTAAACTATCAATGCTTTACCGTGAGAATATAATAAATTAGTGCAACTAGTGGGAGATTCTGTAAATATTAACTTACTTGAGTAAGGTAATGGCGTTACAGGGCGTTACCATCGTTACACTTCCATGCAGCTCCATGTAGATATTGAATGATACCTTTAGCTTTGTTCAGTATGCTAGCACGGCTCAGTTAACGTCCAAAACTCAGTCTTCAAGTTTGGAATGTTAACTGATCAACGTTAACTGATCAATTCTTCTCCAATTTTATAACCATTAAATTCAGGCCATACCAAGGATAAATCAATTCACAAGAGATCATTAAATCCCAGAATTCCAATGCTGTCCAGCACTACTCTAATCAACTTGCAGTAATTAAATTTCTCAACGTGTACGTAAAAGAAATATATAGTTGAAATCACGTACGATTATTATATTATCAGGAATGTGGTTTTCTAGGTAAATACAAGTGATACGTACACATGCATTTATCCCTCATAACTATAATACCACTAGTCCAGGTTTCTGAATAATGTACATACTTAGCATAATAAGTGCTAACCATCACGCATACCTACAATACCACCACACATACCTTTACAAGCTTTACAAGCTTCACGCTCTGTGCTGGTCCGCTACTACTCACACATCCTGCTGCAACAATAACTACTGGCATTACAAAACATACCACCGTCCTACCAGTAATAATAATAGGTGTATGTAACAACCAGGGGACTAAGTATACACTGTAATTTTACATTGTCCGCATAACACCCAGGTACTAGGTATACATTGTCCAACAACAAGTAGTAAGTATACATTAACATTACCCACTAGATGTACATTACCCACTAGATATATATTACCCACTAGGTATACATTACCCACTAGATATACATTACCCACTAGATATACATTACCCACTAGGTATACATTACCCACTAGATATATACATTACCCACTAGGTATACATTACCCACTAGATATACATTACCCACTAGATATATACATTACCCACTAGGTATACATTACCCACTAGGTATACATTACCCACTAGATATACATTACCCACTAGATATACATTACCCACTAGATATACATTACCCACTAGATATACATTACCCACTAGATGTACATTACCCACTAGATATATATTACCCACTAGGTATACATTACCCACTAGATATACATTACCCACTAGGTATACATTACCCACTAGATATATACATTACCCACTAGGTATACATTACCCACTAGGTATACATTGCCCACTAGATATATATTACCCACTAGGTATACATTACCCACTAGATATATATATTACCCACTAGGTATACATTACCCATTAGATATATATATTACCCACTAGGTATACATTACCCACTAGGTATACATTACCCACTAGGTATACATTACCCACTAGGTATACATTACCCACTAGGTATACATTACCCACTAGATATACATTACCCACTAGATATATACATTACCCACTAGGTATACATTACCCACTAGGTATACATTACCCACTAGGTATACATTACCCACTAGGTATACATTACCCACTAGGTATACATTACCCACTAGATATACATTACCCACTAGATATATACATTACCCACTAGGTATACATTATCCACTAGGTATATATTGTAATTACTCCTTCACCTTCTCTTTAAGTACTCTATTATACTCACAGCACATATTATATATATCATCATGAGGGGACATTTAGTGTACTACCTTCTAAGATTACACTTAATATTACAATTATTTTACATGAGTGCGTATGATATTACATATTTTAAACTATCACAACTTGAGGTTCTATTACACAGCACACTGAATGTTTGTAATGTACGAAGTTCACAATTTTCAGTGTATGTTGAATGTTGATTATGAACTAAACGTCCACCACCATGCTTCTGTGTTGAATTGTACCGGAACCAGTACCGGAACCAGTACCGGAACCAGTACCAGAACCAGTACCGGAACCAGCTGTACAGGTCCATTAAAGGTGTAAACGAAGTTAGAAGGTCTAAGAACTTCTTAAAAGTTTATTTCTTGGAAATTGTGTCACGTGCTTTCAGCTTCAGGACAATTTACTCCCTCTTATTTCTATTTTATTCTATTTTCAAACACAATTTGAGTTCAACGTTGATGTTAAAATCGGTACGGATCACAATATAATTAAAGGTGGGCACCTTTCCGTCTTTCCGAGCAGGTTGAGTGCTGAAAGCTAGTTCTGATAGCTGGTACATGTAGTTCTAATTTCACAGTCTGAGTGTCTTGTGGTTACAACTTCAGGACAATTTATCTTATTTCTACACAAGTATTGAAACACGGTTCAATATTGATGTTTTATTCTGAATAAGTAGGGTATATTGCAAAGTTATCTTCCTCGAAAAGTTTTCTGTTAATTTCCAGCTATTTTGATAAAGCAATAAGGCAATGGAACTTGGAAGGTGGGTACAGTTAGAATATATAATGTATGTAGATTAGTCTGTTCCTAGAATAATTCCTCAAAATGGCTGCCAAGCAAGAAGACAGCAGTCCGCATTCCGGCATTCCGACATTCTAGTGATAACTAGTCATCGATAATTGGGATCGTCAGGTGATAATCTCTGCTTATCCTGGGTAAAGAAAGCATATATTTGGCTATTTGAGAGTGGAAGCTTCACTTTGTTCCAAAATTACTTTACACTCTTAAATGCTCCGCTCTCAGCCATTTACTCGAGTTTCGAGGCAAATTTCACTATTCTCGGCAATTTAAATGCTAATAATTGTTGATTGTAACTTCATGCTGTCTGTTATCGAGTTACCTCGTTATCACCAAATAAAAAGACAATAAATAAGGAAGGGATCTATTGTGATTGGGCACATGCGATAACAATGAATTATATCGGATATCCTAATAAATTATATCCTAACATAGAACATGAAAATAGAACAATGAAATATATTTTGTTAACGGAACCATCCAATTAGCATGAATATAACAAGTCGTGTTATCTTGCTTGATCAATAAGATAGTGATTTAATGGTCATACACGAACACAACAGAGCTCAATGCTCAGAACGAAACACAGCTCAGGGTTGTTAGGGTAACCCTGCCATGATCTGACTAGTGACGTCACGAGTTGTGACGTCACGAGTTGTGACGTCACGAGTGAGACACGATATTATGTGCACGTGTACATTTGTTATAAGGATGGACGCGTTATGCTGGAATATTGCATGGTGCAAAATTTGTCGTGAAAATAGTGTGAAACAACAGAGAAACGTTGGAGATGTTACCAAATATGGGAGTTTTTCATTTGGTGATGAAATAGTGAGCCATAAACTGTTAAATGATTGTGTGACGTGAAAGAGTGCTGACTGCTGCAGAGTCAAGTGTTTTCAGCAGATTTGCGCAATCAAAAGAAAGTTTGTCGAATCGGATATGATATTTCAAATCAAATCTTCGCAATCGTGATTGTAAAATGGTTTCAATGCAAAAATAGATTAATAAGAATCATATAAGGGTTAGAACGGAGTCTTTTAAGACCGCAAAATATTTAATAATAAAGATAAGTTAATTAATTAAATAATTTAATTAATTAATTAATTACCTGTGAAGAACCTTCCGACTGTGACAGAAATCAAGACCACGCAGTAGCTGGTATGTGAATAGCTGAAACGTAGAATTGGTTATTAATTGAATCATTAGATCAATCAATTAAATCGATAAATTCATTTATTAAGAGTATTATACCCAACAATGACCGGCTAACTGATAGCTACTTCAGAACCAACGAAACTACGAAATTCATTTATTTATTTTGGGTTATGAATAGCGTTATTTTTAGTATGATATAGTGTTAATTAGTGTTGATTCCTTTTCGAGAATATCATGATTATTTAATAGATCATCTAATATCTATGCGACATCTGGGTCCCTACCCTCGCACAAGATTATTCTCAATTTTCTTGTTGTGTTCCACAACAATCACTGAACGGTTTATATTACACACATATTAAATGGAGACATTGAACTGCAGTTCAGTTTGAGTTTTGCTTTCTTATTTTATGACGCAATGATGATATAATGTGATTTTCTTTGAATTTCATCAGTGAGATGTATGACTTAGGGTCAAATACACTTTATTGCGGCTCAAGTTCAAAAGTCTGAGATAAAAGGATTTGGGTCTGAAATGAATTATGAAATGAAAACAGTACTTGTACTCAGACAATTTATATTGCCGATATCAGAGAATGGGTTATAATTAATTAAATCATTAAATCAATCAATTAAATCGATAAATTCAGTTCGCCGGTCATTGTTGGGTATAATACTCTTGCGATAAATTCATTTATTTATTTTGGGTTATGAATAGCGTTATTTTTAGTATGATATAGTGTTAATTAGTGTTGATTCCTTTTCGAGAATATCATGATTATTTAATAGATCATCTAATATCTATGCGACATCTGGGTCCCTACCCTCGCACAAGATTATTCTCAATTTTCTTGTTGTGTTCCACAACAATCACTGAACGGTTTATATTACACACATATTAAATGGAGACATTGAACTGCAGTTCAGTTTGAGTTTTGCTTTCTTATTTTATGACGCAATGATGATATAATGTGATTTTCTTTGAATTTCATCAGTGAGATGTATGACTTAGGGTCAAATACACTTTATTGCGGCTCAAGTTCAAAAGTCTGAGATAAAAGGATTTGGGTCTGAAATGAATTATGAAATGAAAACAGTACTTGTACTCAGACAATTTATATTGCCGATATCAGAGAATGGGTTATAATTAATTAAATCATTAAATCAATCAATTAAATCGATAAATTCAGTTCGCCAGTCATTGTTGGGTATAATACTCTTGCGATAAATTCATTTATTTATTTTGGGTTATGAATAGCGTTATTTTTAGTATGATATAGTGTTAATTAGTGTTGATTCCTTTTCGAGAATATCATGATTATTTAATAGATCATCTAATATCTATGCGACATCTGGGTCCCTACCCTCGCACAAGATTATTCTCAATTTTCTTGTTGTGTTCCACAACAATCACTGAACGGTTTATATTACACACATAATTAATGGAGACATTGAACTGCAGTTTAGTTTGAGTTTTGCTTTCTTATTTTATGACGCAATGATGATATAATGTGATTTTCTTTGAATTTCATCAGTGAGATGTATGACTTAGGGTCAAATACACTTTATTGCGGCTCAAGTTCAAAAGTCTGAGATAAAAGGATTTGGGTCTGAAATGAATTATGAAATGAAAACAGTACTTGTACTCAGACAATTTATATTGCCGATATCAGAGCGGTCATCCAGTACCTGTCTCGCCCGGGGGGGGGGGGGGGGGGGGGGGATCATACACTTAGTACCGCACGTGACGTTGGGTGGGTGGGTCATATTTTCTTCCAAAAACACAGTTAGTACATGGAACATTTCCCAGGGTGGGTCTTTTGCCAAAATTCTAAAATTAAACTTAGTCGACGTCACGTTTAGAACTTAGTATCCGATCCCCCCCCCCCCCCCCCTCCAGCTCCCCCAAACGAAATTTGATTTTGGCTATTCTTAGAAAGTAGAAACCATTTACTTGGGAGTGCCCCTCTGATATTAACCAATAAATGTTTGACATCACAAAAAAAATCGCAATTCAATATTAAATGTGTTATTCGTTGAGGACATAGCATGTAGTGTTCATTTCCAACAGACCTGCTCACGATAGAAAGTCACCACAACTATGTGTCACACGTGGCTTGGTCAAGTTTTATGCAGTTTTAGCTTCCTGACCCTCACATATTATGTAGTATAAGTAAGATTAAGAAGTGAAAGCACAGTGATGGCCAGAGCCATACACAGTTTTCTCTTTCTCTCTCTCCCAGCCCTTATTGTTTACATGATAGTGATGTCTTGTAGAAGGAGATCAGCAAGGTGATTTGCGAGCATTGACACGTGACATTGTGTAGTCCAATGAGATTAGCGAGTGTGTGTCACTCCTCTCACAGTCATAACAATTGTCTTATTTGCATACGTCGTTTACACTTTAAAAACACAATAGGGGGATCTGCATTCTGCATCTTAACTAATTTTTCCTAAGTTTCTCGAATTTTGTGAAGATTTTAACAAGTATGACTGCTATAAGCACAGCTAAAAGAACTGCAGGATCAGATGCATCACACATCAATCAACATACCATGCAGCAATACTGGTTACAATTAGTATTGCGTAAGATTGTCAGTTGAAAGTACCTAAAGCATGTGCTCACTGCCACCCTTCTCTTAGCAACATTTGCTCATTTCATTCACACAACACGAGAACTTTATTTGTAATAAGTGTTATTAAGTTTGTTGAAGAAACGAAGGCATTTTATACAGTTTTTAACAAGTGTTACGGGTAACAGTAAGCTGCTAACCAGGTTTAGGATAAGCTACGCAACATGCAAGGTATCGGATTGGTTAGATGTTACGTAACGGCAAGAATTTGAGGTATTTCCAGTGTTGAGAGACGGTCAACTTAGCGTTTGTATTGTTTTAAAACAGAAAAAAGCCCAATAAGAGGAATAAGAGAGGAATTAAACATTTCGTTACATAAAAAATAGCGTTAGTATAACATCATTTTGGTTAGTTACATCTTTGTAGAGAAGTTTTGGTTTAAAAGTATGTACAATGAATACTATGTTTATAAAGTAAATACGTGGCGAACAATGAGAATTGAGATAATATATTTACCTTAATATTGTGTATACAGATGTTACCGTGACAGGCATCCATGTACTGTTTCAAATCTCTCTCCTGAAACAACAACAATAACATTGCTTAGTGAAGAGCACCATCACATACAGTCAGAAAAATCACATACTGTCACAACTATTGTAACCTGCTGAGAAATAATTGCTTGTTTGTTTTTCAGAAAACATGCTGAAACGAGGATTTTCTTACATTTGGTTGCGAGCCACATCAAAATCTTCGCGAAATTTCACTGTCAATTTGAATTATGTCCAAGAAAAATCCAGACGGTATAAGGCTATTATATGCTGTGGCCTTATCCAAACTATACTGTGGCCTGCTCTAGATAAACTGCACATTCTTTGTGCATAGTATAATGATGCTGTATAAAAACAATAGTATACTAAGTGGCACATGATTTCATATGGACACTTACACGTTATAACAATTTACGCCCGTGGCCATTCGCCATTATCATCAATATTAATAATTCGTGGTATTTCCAATACACACCATGCTGCTAAATACTGAGATCAAGAATTTGCGAGAACATGATAATTCATAAGTTCATATTAGTTTAAATAGTTAACTTATTCGAATCGATGACCACATCAAATGAAGCTACAACGTTGATGTAATGATGATACAAATAAATACCTGACACTATCTCCGAAGTCAACACAACTCCGTCAAGTTCCACCGAAACATCATTATGTACAGTGCAATCAGGGGTAGGGTAAACGGCCATATATTTCGGTGGAATTCCACGGAACTGTGTGTTGGCTTCGGGCTTCTTGGATAGTGCCGATATCTTACCATAAGGAAGCAATTTTGCCGAAGAAAATAATTAAAGATCTCCATACTTACAACGTATTCAAATATGAGGGTAATTGATTTAGGAAGTGCTACTATATCGTGTAGAGTAACGATGTTTGCGTGCTTCAATCCCTTTAACAACGAAACTGCAGACAAATTAATTAAAACCATTATTCAATATCAGTTAGTGTTTTACTGAAAGTAAAGATGCGTCATTACCCATCATTACTCATCATTACGAATATGAAACTTTAATATCATTTAACAGTTAACACACTCCGACGAAGCTAGGTACAGAATCCCTAAACTGAGCCTACTCACACACACGCACACACACACACACACACACACACACACACACACACACACACACACACACACACACACACACACACACACACACACACACACACACACACACACACACACACACACACACACACACACACACACACACACACACACACACACGCGCACACACACACACACACACACGCGCACACACACACACACACACACACACACACACACACACACACACAGACCCCACACAAACACTCCACAAACCTTCTCTGATAGCAGTACAGGGCACCCCCTCCTCATGCTCCAGACTTGTCTCCTTCAGCGCTACCAGCAGCCCCGTTATATTACTCCTCCCTTTGTACACGTGCGCGTACGTTCCTTCTCCTAACTTCTCCAGCTTCGTGTACGACTCTATCAACCCGAACCCGTTAGTGATAAGGTTAGCAAGGTTGTGGCCGTGGCCGTGTTTCCGCTGCGCGGCTCCAACTGACAAGCTCCGTTGGAGGGTGGTGGGACGTTTCCTGCTGTCAGGGTATTTCACGGAGCTGGACTTCTTGAGTTGGCAAGCACCCGGGTTGGGCATTTGGTTCTGGAGGAGGAGCATGTGTTACTTATTTGGAGGTTGTGTTACGTGATATTATTGTGTTTAAAATGTTGAACAAGCTTCAAGTGAAATGGTAAGGATCACAGAATTCACATGTACATATATATAAAGATATAAGACAAAGCCATTGTAAGCAGTAGGATGCTGGGTGACCTAGCAAACTGGGAATAAATTTAATGCCACTTCAAAGATCAAATGTATACATAGTATGTTCAATACATTTGATCTTTGAAGTTTCTAATGTTGTACGGAGAGAACTGTGTATGAATATTGAATTCCTAACAGTATTCCTCATTAATATGTATCAATCTGAAAGTTCCTGTCGTTATCGACTTTACGAACAATATTCTAGTACTAGCTGGTCCGTCAGGGAGGGTAAAGTAATTTAGTAACTTTTATATTCACACTTTATTATTTATTAAACTACGTTTGTTCGCACTTTCCCAGACTGTGATTCTGTGTAATACTTCCACTGCGACTAAATTAAGTTTTGAAGCACTGTACGTACGTTATTATTTACTTGCACAATTACGCGATAACTTTATCAAACAAATCTTTAGTACTGCACTTGCAAGTGTGCCAGACCATTAGCCATGTCTTGAGCTTACCACCGCCCAGAAACTAAGTCTAGATGACACGGGTAATGTTCAGACTGCACCATTGTCAAATATAAGACAATATGTTAGGATTTATTGAATTATTAAAGATGTACACAATATACTTGTAGACAACTCCTGAGAGACAATGTTATTTGTTCTTAAACGTGATTCTTAAACTTCAAATACCAAACCAGCCGATTTAGCTTATTTAACCATATAATATCTTAACCTGCGTCATTTTCGCGATACTTCTCCCGAACGCAGACCTCTCAAACTCATACACTGAATTTCATTTCCGTCACAGTGCACTGGCGTGATTTGAATAAAATTATGTGATAATTCGCTCACATTACTACAGCTCCGTTTCAGAGGCGGGCGTATATAGGCTCCTGGCTCCAGTATGTTATTGCACACGGTATAAACGTAGGTGTAAAAGTACATTGTACAGTAAACGGGAATGTACACAGGTACATTTCTCGAGAGATTATAATCTACACAATACTAAGAATTTTACCTTTAATTTGTGAGGTCACATTACACTTCAGAGAGGACTAAAACCAAAACCAAAACCACAAATATACAACCACAGAAAACTAGCACAACAACAACTACGGGACGTAATTTTGTCAATTATATAATACACTGTATGTAATCTCTACAACACAGTGTACAGGATTATTATTATTAATGCAGATATAAGGTTTCACCACGCGTGTTGAATCACAGCAAGAGGAAATCTTTTGTTTTCACATCATCTCTCTACCATTAGTCCTGTTATGTGTTATTTGAGAGAAAGGCGGGTGATGTTTTTAGTAATTAAATTCAAATCTGCCAAGTACTTCATACAATTTCATGCCAATATCTACTCTCAATCACGCGTCAAATCTCTTAAAACACTTCCTTTTGCTGCACATTTATGTCATTAAATAATACAATGCAGCTTTAAGTTTACAATATACGTTGGAAATGTTTTGGTTTATGGCGACTTGTAGTATATTCTCACATATTGACATAATACAACTACTGGCTGCAATGAATAAATTAATGTAGAGAAATATGTGACTGAAGATTACCTCAAAATACCACTTGGTCACATTTTGTCATTTAGCTAAACAGATTATGGATAAACCTGACAGCTGTCTATAGCTGACTACCTGATATCGCTATTATATTTATTTTCATTCTAGGAAGTGTGAAGTTCAGAATTTCATTCAAATACGTCATGATGTCAGAGAATGGAGCTGTCTGCTGTAGTCTAATTCTAATGATACATAATCAGGCCAGAGGAATAAACAAGTCATAGACAAAATGAACTTTCTGGAAGGACTCTATGGCAATTTATGTTAAACATTTTTTCATACTAAAACCTGGATATCTTTGTCGCCGCCCCACTAGCAGTTACATTCATCTATACTTAAATTAATATTACTGTTTAACTCACCACTCTAAAGTCCAGATTTCCGTTTGCAGAGTTAGATCTGGGTTTGCTTGATTCTTCCTTGTATCCTGGATTCGTATAGTCTGACTTTTCTGCACTTTGCTCACTTTCTGAGCTCTTTTTTGAGTTTGATCTAAGGAGGGAGGAGGGTTAAGTGACAGAATCCTGACACAAAATTAACCAACCAGCCTCATGCAGTAGTGACAGTAATGACAGATTAATTTAATAATCGCTGCAATATGTCATATTAAAAATTGCATTGGAACCTCCCGGCAAACAAATGAATTTAGGATAAGATTTACTGAGATCACGGACAAGTGAAACAAGAGGCATGGCAACATACAAGTGTTGCAAAATTCCGCACTTGCCTAAAATTACCTAATGTGCGGCAAATTTTGTGAATAATACGGCTCAAGTGCGGCGAGTCTGGGCCTGCAGGCCTGGGTTTTGCTGACATCTTCAAAAATGCCTGTAAAAATGGCCAACAAATTTGCTGACGTAATATATGAACGCTTCTTAGCAACAAAAGAGCAACTGATTATTCCGACTCTGATCAGTTTCAATTTCACCAAAAATAGTTTATATTTAGATAATATCCCTATGATTTGGCGGCAAGATTCTTTCAAGATTCTTTCTTCTCTTTCGGTTAAAAGCTGCTTTGCCAGGAAACGGCTTAAAGAGCGAAAATGTGCGGGAACCGGCAATTCCTCACCCGCTGAACTTATATTTCACTATTTTTAAGGCAAAATGACAAAAAGTTTCAGAAAGAGATTTGCAACTAAATTATAATGCACACCTGTTTGGTTTTGTAACATTTTTGTTTGCCGGAGGAGACAGAAGTCGTGAGTTTGACGATGTTCTGCGTATAAATGATGCAAAGTTTGGGGAGAGAGAAAACTTGTGATTGTCATAGCTTTTTGCATTCTTGTTGTCTTTTGTTACGGGAAAATAGAAGTTTTCATCATTTTCTTGAATGAGCAACTGGTTGCTGAAATCTGAAAATAGAGATGTAAAATGAGAGAGCTTAACATAGTCATAGAAATATATATGCATATACATGTATATGAGTATTGCTGAAAGCACAGTGTAAGGCCTACACGGACCGCCTCTAACTAGCCAATCCCTGTTTACATGCCGTGTAGCAGGGGACTAGAATATGTTATTTATTGCATAGAATTTGGGATAATATCAGATATTGTCAATAGATAATACAAAAAAAACACATTCAACTCTCAATTTCAACTCTAGCTAAAACTCAACCTAATTGCAAGCATTTAATGATACCACTACAATCTACATAAATAATATGTAAATATATGGAATCAAATTACATACCATGTTTGCTGTGAGTTTTCTTGCTGAAAAGTGGACTAATATTGTCTTTTTTCACCAACACATCGTCCTGTTCTCTTTGACGCAATGTGAACGACAGATGTCGTTTTATTTTCTTCATGTTAAGTAAAATGATACTTAACAGTTGTTTACATTATGCTGCAAATTTTACCATTTGTTAGTTTTATAAAAGTAGGTGAGGACTTAAATTAGAAATTTTAAAAAAACAAACTAACTCTTCACTACTTAGGGTTGGTTCACTCTCTTACTTTTTATCTAGTTAAGCAAATTGCAGCTTCATGGATTCGACCTTGATACCTCGGGGCCTGTAGACAAAAAGAGTAGCACACTAACCAACTGCGCCCAAACATATCTAACCACTTGGCACACATACTGGAGAGCACCCTTGCAAGACTTCAAATCTTATAGAAAAGTACCCTCAATCAGTAAAAGTAACAGTAAAGTAAAAATTATGACATAACATCATCACTAATGTCTACAAAGTATCATTGCACTACATGGAAAAATATACAGTAACTATTTCTCCATCAAATTTAAAAGTAATAATTTATCAAATATTAATCATGAATAACAACAACATTATAAAATGTAATTTATTCATACTTCCCAATGGAGTAAAGATTTATAAAACGTTTCTTTGCTACATAAGGATGAAACCAAAGATAATCATTCTGAACTACTGAAGGTTAGATTTTCTGATAGGGTCCTTCTCATTTCACCCTCTATCACGGATTTCCACGGATTACGGGTCTCAAACCCGTAATCTTCCGATCACGAGTATCTTCGAGCGACCACTGGAACACCAGAAATACAGCAGGTCACCTTACAATTTTCCAGTACTCATACATTTGACACACAAACTTTGGCACAGTATTAAATCGAAACATGAAATGGTTAGCACATGATAATATAGAACCACTGACTCTCAAAAATAACTGTAAGTGCAATAAATTTCTATAAACTTCTCGAGCAAGTTCTGGTACATGATATTCATACTTTGTTTTAAGTGAACATTGTCGTTATTTGACATGATAATAAATTTTCAACTCTATTAAATTTCAATTCAATTAAAATGCTAGGTTTTCTAGGTTTGGTAAATCAAATGGAAGTTCGGGTCCCGGTCTACCAAAAAGGTGTCGATTAGAGAACAACTTCCACAACTTCTTATTTATTTCAAGTTAAAGGATCTACTAAATATTGGTTTAGGTCAAAAATTCAGTGTATAGTGACATGTGACATGAGGTTGAGGTTTTGTAAATGCGCGGCGCGCCATCAAGGTTAAATTATTCACCTTTATTTTATGATATGATTTGTTTTGCTTGTTATTAAATAATACCAAAATTTAAAACCTGTTCTCCTAATCCCTAAAATAATTTTTGAGACTTTGATTCATGACTCCACGTTATTTTGTGAACTAGCCCGAGGTTCACATAGCCATGTGTATACGCGTACTGCGTGACGTGCTTGTTTCACAAGCGGTCGAGCGCTCAGCGCTACTGCAAGTGAAAGGGCTTTGGTTAGAGCAAAGCCTGAGGCAAGTACGCTACGAAGTAGCGCGCACCGGGTTAGTCCATTAACAATGGACAATAAATTTCGTGCTAGCCCTGCTATACTATTTGCCTAAAACTTTGTACCTATACCAAAGCTACCATGTACCTTTACTCAATCTAACTTCACACTCCAATACCGATGTACAATTTATTTCAAAAGTCACCCCGACGTGATAACTACTATATTAACCCCGCTGCAACCAATTTGTTTGTATATAAAACCTCGAATATGTGGAATAAATTCCTTAAACCTTCTAGTAAGATTGACTTCTCGTCCCCAATTGCACTTGTTAAAGGTCGCATTAAAACTATGCTACTCAATGCTCAAAAAGCTGGAAACACTGATGAATGGTCAGAACTCAACTTTGATGGAAATGACATGTGCCTATAATAAGAACATACAAACTAGTCCATATAGATTTCATACTACACACACAAAATAACACACACAATACACACCACAGTCAAACATAGAAACTATATATTCACACATATAACACAGAACACTGATCAGCTCACCCGCTTTACACTAGTGTCTGGACTTGTCTGGAGTGTACGTCTGGAACGTGGGACGGACTCACAAATATATTGTGTAAACGTACGGCGCGAAACTTAAATATTGTATAACTCTATCATTTCATTACCCAGCGTGATTTACCGCGCCAGATTAATGAAATGACGCCGCGCTATATCCGTGAACCTACCGTCACTTATATCTTATATTTTATATTTCGTATCTCTTACTACGTAACGCGAAATTAAGTTGTATCACACTCCCGGTTTTGGACCCCAATGTTAACCTTGCAGCAACTGTGTCAGCCCAATATACTCTAGAAGTATGATCACACTTATTTTAATGAACAAAAGACCCATAATTAATATAATCAGATACTCGTCAACAGCAGCAGTTTCCGTCCGTGTGATGTGTTGTCCTCCTCCTTTCTGTGTCCCCGTCGTTTTGTTTTGTGAAATTTATTGTAGTAGTGTTTTAATATTTAAATCGAACGCAACTCAATAGTTAATAATAACAAACACAAATACTATTTCAAATAATTGATTAATATCGATTTATACGAACCAAACATTAATTATTTTTTAATAACCTTTTACATATGTGTTAAACGATCCAGGGCATATCTAAAATTCGATAATGAACTTCATATATTATTAGTGCCGCGTGCTGATAAATATTCTGGGAATCAATCCACCCAATCGTGGCGATAACATATTTTTGTGCTTGGCCGGTTTTAGGTTTGAGTTTGTGCTCCAAAAGTGGTAAATCGGGTGCTAGTAAAGCTCTTGCAGGCAACTGGCTCCTTTTGCCAACTGCTTTTGGTTTAAGCGCGGACTCACATTTGGAACTGGCACTGGTATAATTGTAATATCCTACGAAGTCAGCATGTTATATTATTTTGCAAAACTCGTTTAATATCTTGACAATATTTAAAGTTTATGGATTTAGGTTTAGGCGCGGCGCACTGCTTATATGTTATAGCTCATTCAGCTTCTGTTTTCAGCGATGTGTTGCTACACACTGTATAGCATGTGGAACAAGCGCGGTGCCGCGCCTAAGCAGCAAAAGAGTTATTTATTTTAAAATTTATTTTTGTATCTCAAAAATGATGTAAAGTTTTTAATATGACGTAGAATTAAAGCTATTTCCGTACAGCCTAAGTGCTAAGCATGCTCGTTAGATAAACTATGAACAATGAACATAACATGCTAGCTTTCTTTATTTTTGTAAGTCGTGTCGGCTGACATCTTGGGTTGTACTGGATGTAACAAGTTTATTATCGGATGTCTACTTATATTTATTATGATATCATTATTCATTGTAATGGCAATAAAATTTAAATTTTGTTTTACTTAAAAAAAATTTTGTTTTACTTCAATAATGTATCATATGTCGGATTTTAAGCCGTAAAATGGTCATTTGCAAATTTTTTCTTAAAAATCCCCTTATCTACCGTTGAAACTTTTTTGAATCGATGTATTTTCGAACGCTGATTCCAAATCACCCGCGATGACATAGTTAAATAAAGTTAAAATTTAACGAATGTTACTCGTCTAAATTTCTTCGAAGTAGCGCACGCCGCTTTTTTTTCGAAATGCCCGACGTTAAGTGCTACGAAGTAGCGCGCGCCGGGCCAGACCATTAACAATGGTCAAGGTTGAAATGCTCTCCTGGCGAGATACTGTCGAAAAACTGTTTCAACCACATGATATGACCAGCCACGAAATTAGTATAATTTATTGTTAGGGTTAGGGTTTCAAACCAAATCAAAACATAATGTTACATAAGATCATCATAAATATTCATAAAATATTTTAATAATATTTTGCGCTTTGAGGTATTAAAGACAACGGTTATTTCGATAAGGGGGGACAGAGGGCCCAAGTTGCGATATAAACCAGACAATATTGAAGATTTAGATTTAAATATTGAGCCCTTTGGCTAGAGAATACTTTCTTGAATATTTTCGATAGTTTTTAATATTGGTAATATTAATGAATTGTAATTGATTGATATGTAATATTTAGGCCCGTGGCCAGTTTTCACAATCATACCCAAACGACCTTGTTCAGGTTAATTCATTTTTCTTTGCCACATTGTACATAGGGACGAAACCACAAATGATAGTTATGTATACTTTTATTTTATTTATTTATTTTTTTTAATGTGATAAAAAGTATGTCAAACAGTATATATACAATAAAGTAATTCAAGTGTTGCAATTGGCAGAGCACAATACAGAGGTAACGGAAATTGTCCACTGCTACCAATATTATATAATATGAAATATCAAAAATCAAATATATACACATCGTGATCTTAAACAGTTAAGTGATATAGCATCAAGAGAACCTCAAATAGCATACAGTGCATACATGTATGGGCTTAGTAAAAGATGGAACTATGTGTGCAGAACTACCCCAGGAGTTGCAGATAGGCTCACTCCTCTAGAACAAGTAACACGTGATGAGTTTATCCCAGCTATCATTAACAGGCTGTTTAGCTGCACTGATGAACTAAGGAACATAATGGCTCTACCACCAAGATATGGAGGATTGGGTATACCAGTTATGATGGAAATGGCAGACCGAGAGTACAATTTCTCATGTAGAGCCACAAAACCCCTTAAAGAAGCTATTCTCAAGCAGATAGACAACTACACAGAGGACTGGAGACACAGTAAAGGAGTGAAAATTGAGATAACGACTGAACGAAATCTCTTTTATCGACAAAAACAAGCAGAAATACGCCAGGAGCTCGAGTCAACACCACTGGCAAAGTTGATGTTCCAACTAGCGGCTGAGAAAGGGGCAAGTGCTTGGTTAACAGCACTACCTTTAAAAGAGTATGGATATCTGATGAATAAACAACAGTTCTCAGATGCAATAGCTCTCAGATACAACCTGAACTTGAAGGACTGCCCTAAAACATGTACATGTGGCCAGAAATACTCAGCAAACCATGCGCTCATCTGCAAACTTGGTGGATATGTGTCATTGCGCCACAACTCGCTGAGAGACACCTTTGCAGAACTAATGAGAACTGTGAAATGCAAGGATTTAATACTTTCAACACTACTATATAACAAATAATTTGAGGTATGACAATGGAAAGTCCGCTACGATGATAACAAACAGCGGTGAAGACAAGACAGCAGAAACAGAGAGTGTACAGCTACCAGACACCTGTGATCCGGAGACATCTCAACACCTGTCTTCTGAAGGTATTGCTTATGTTACACCTGTTGTTTCTCTGTTATGTGGAATCTGTCCCAAAGATCTTATATCAGAACCTTGTAGCATTCAATGTGATTCCTGTAAGACATTTTTCCATCCTAAATGTCTTGGCAAGTCTGCACCAGTGGACAGTGAACGGTGGGTTTGTCAGAAATGTAGGGATAATGTAGAGAACCAGCAGATCATTGATGCTCCTGACGAGGAAAATGATATCTGTTATAACTGTCCCGTGTGTAGGAGTGTTGTGGGGGATTCGGATAAGGCATTGGGTTGTGATGGCTGTGAAGAATGGCTCCATGCACCTTGTTTGTTTATCAGTGAAACCGAGTACGCTGAGATGGATAATGAAGAGATATGGTTTTGTGATACTTGTCAAGCAGTGAAAGCAAACAAAATTAATTGGGGCTCAATGGTTGGTGAAGAGTTGATAGCTGAGAAAGTCCAAGCTGTTTATCAAGAGATGGTGACATGGAGAAAGAATCTTTTCCTAGTTCCCAGAGGTAAATCAGGTAGCGACTTTATAAAAGAACTGACTCGGCTCATCCTCTTATTTGCAGATGCTACCAAGTGGGAAAGGCTATCGTTCGCACTGGTTCATATCTTTTTGCCAATCATGTTGCAAAAACCGTCAAGCAAGTCAAAAGCAAGAGACCATGTAACATATCTCACCAAGCGTTTGGTTAAATGGAAAAGTGGAGAACTTGACGATCTAATGATGGAGTGCAGGAGTATTCAGAAAGCCTTGGTGCAGCAACAAAAAATCAGCGAGGAATCCAGGAAGAAGAGTTTCTGCCGACTAATGCTCCTTGGGAAAGTTAAACAAGCCACCAAATATGTTGACAGTTCCAATGACACCTTAGGAGTTCACAGCCTAACAGCAAACATTAAACAGGTCCTTGGGGAGAAACACCCTCCAGCTGTTAAAGCAGATCCAGTTGTTCTGCACCCTCACAGTACTCCTCCACCTCAGGAAGTGATATTTGAGAGGATTGACGCAGAGACTGTCAAGAGGGCTTGTTTATATTTTGGATGGATCAGGCGGCCCAACACTAACGGACTCAGATTTGTGGAAGCATATCATTTGCAGCAAATCATTTGGCAAAGCATCAGTGACACTTGCTGAGTCTATAGCAATTGTTGCAAGGCACCTTTGTAGAGAAGATATCCATCATAGCTGTCTGAAAGAGTTCACTGCATGCAGATTAATCCCTCTTGATAAAGGCCAGGATAAGAACAGGAAACCTGGTGTAAGACCAATTGGAATCGGCGAGATATTGCGCAGAATCATTGGAAAAGCAGTTATAATGTCTTTCAAAACTGATATACAATATGCTGCTGGCCCACTGCAGACATGTGCAGGGCTCAAATCAGGAATAGAGGCTTCCATTCATGCAATGAGACAGATCTGGGAAGACAGTGACACTGAAGCAATACTACAGGTTGACGCTGATAATGCGTTCAATCGTCTTAATAGAGAAGCAGCCCTTCACAATGTTCATGAGATCTGTCCTCCGCTCTATCAGTATCTAAAGAACCACTACCAAAAGCCAGCAGACCTGATCATTAATACTACCGAGGACCACTACCAACTTAAGTCTGAGGAAGGTTCAACTCAGGGAGATGTAGCAGCAATGGCATTCTATGCGTTAGGGATCAAGCCTCTAGTAGATGACCTTGCCACAGCCTCCAAGCCCAGTGTTTGCAAACAGTCTTGGTATGCAGATGACAGTAGTGCTGGTGGAAAGATTGAAGGTATTAAGATATGGTGGGATACGCTGTTGGAGCAAGGACCAAAGTATGGATATTACCCAAAAGCCAGTAAGACCGTCCTGATTGTGAAGAATAGCGAGGACCTAGATCTTGCGCAGAAAGTATTCTCAGGCACTGGTATTAAAATCGAGTCTGAAGGAGAACGCCATTTGGGTGCAGCAATTGGCAGCGAAGCTTTTAAGAACAAATATGTCTCAGATAAAGTCCATAAATGGTGTCAGGACATCAAGCTGTTGTCATCAATTGCTATTTCAAGAGGAGCCCCAAGCTGCTTTGACTGCATATACTAAGGGAATTTGTCACCGGTGGACGTTCATTCAGAGGACCATCCCGGGTATAAGTCACTTGTTTCAACCATTGGAGGATTGCATCAGAACAGATTTTATTCCAGCAATCTTGGGTAAGAACGTATCAGACTTGGACCGCTCCATATTTGCATTGCCAGTCAGACATGGTGGCCTAGGTATCTCCAACCCAGTTGAAAACTGCAATAGAGAATTCACAGCCTCAGTCACCATCACAAAAGACCTTACAGACCTGATTATCAACCAGCAAAACACCCTTGAACATTACAACATGTCAATTCAAAATGACACTATAAAAAGTCTCAAGGCAATCAAGGAGAAACACTTATTTACGGTTAGCAAATCAATAGAGGACAGTGTAAGAGATCCCAACCTAAAGAGATCCCTCCAGTTCATCAAAGAGAAAGGTTCAGGATATTGGCTTACTGCACTTCCATTGAAGAGATTTGGCTACTCCCTGAACAAGATTGAGTTCCGTGATGCTCTGTACTTGCGTTATGGTTGGGAGATCCCTAACACCCCATTTCACTGTGCTTGTGGAGATAGAAATAATGTGAATCACACACTTATATGCAAGAAAGGTGGCTATGTTTCTATGAGACACAACAACATCCGCGATCTAAATGCAGAGCTGCAGCGTGAAGTATGCAGAGATGTAGTGACTGAGCCAGCATTGATACCCCTTGATAATGAAGAAATTGTTGGTACCAATGCTGATAGAGCTGCACCTGATGTATCCTCACGAGGTCTCTGGAGCACATTTGAACGGACATTCTTTGATGTCTGTGTTACCCACCCCAACTCACCCACATATGACAAAAAAGATATGGAACAGATCTATAAAACTCATGAAATGAGGAAAATGAAAAAGTACAACAACAGAATCATCCAGGTGGAAAAAGGCACCTTTACTCCACTTATATACTCAACAAATGGCGGATGGGGTCCACAAGCCACAAGATACCACAAGAGACTCGCTGAAAAACTATCCCAGAAGAGAGGAGAAGACTATGCGGCTATTATGTGTTACATGCGCACCAGGATTAGATTCTCAATCCTCAGGAGCACCCTGATAGTGGTCAGGGGTGAGAGAGGGAGACGGCAATCGTATACATTGCCAGTCAGTGTAACTTCGTTTAACTTGATACCTGCCACCATGGACTATGAATGTTTCTAGACACTATCCTTTTGATATTGAGATATTGGTATTTCAGATCACGTGTACATCGTTCCTTTTTTTACGACACAGTAATTTATTGACACTCACAGCTATAATTTTAATCATTGAATCAGTATTTTTATCTGTGCTCTGCGAATGCATCACATGAATCAGTTTTTTAATCTATTAACTTATTACACATTTGTGCTCTGCTTTAGCATCACTTGACTATTTAAAAAAATTGTTTGTTCAGGCCATGACCTTATAGTCAGCCAATTGGCCATTGCTATATTATGTGTATATTGTTTGAATATTCTAATGCAAGGATGTGCAGACTGAGCCAGTTCTTCTTCCAGTTGATGGTCTAGAGTTACCAAGGGGAACAGTCCTAGGAGACCAAGCCAGGCTGGACATTTCTGCAAGATCGATTTGGAATGCTTCAGAGAGGGCATTTTTTGATGTAAGGGTATTTCATGCCCCAGCCCCCTCCAATGCATGCAAACCGATACCAGCAATGTACCTGTCCCATGAAAATGAGAAAAAGCAATGTTACAATGCAAGGGTTCTTGAAGTGGACAAAGGAAGCTTCACACCTTTAGTGTTCTCGACTTCTGGTGGAATGGGTGGTGAAGCTGAGAGACTGGTCAAGAAGCTGGCCAGTAAGATGGAGTACCACACTGGCCAGAGATACTCAGACGCCGTAGGATACATAAGAAAGCGCCTTCGCTTTGAAATTCTCAGAACAACAGTGATTTCTCTCCGTGGAGACAGAGGTGCGAGAAAAAACATTGTTGATATAAACAGTCTAGATCTTAACTTGGAGCCACAAGGCCAAGGGTAATTTTTAATTGTTAAGGGAATTTTTTGAATTGTTAAAGGGTTGATTTTATATAGGGTCATTGCTATATTATTATGTGTATATTGTTTGAATAATTTTATGTATAACTTCAAAAAAAAATATATACACATCTACTCCATTATAGGGGCAGGGATGAGGTTTACTTTTATTCTCCAAATAATTATCTCCTTCAATTCTACTTATCACCTTACTTAAATAAATTCTTTTTTAATGCAGTCCCTTTTAAAATATTCTAGATTTATCTTTAAATTATTTACACTATAAAAATGCTTAACATCCACTGGTATGGTATTCCAATAAGGTATAACTCTCGAAGGGAAAAGCTTTACGAAGATTCCTTAATTTAGAGTTTTTAATATTGTATATAATATAACCGATCTACTGACATTGAAAATATCTGAGCCATAATTTATTAAATTACCACTGTCTGTTTGATTTCCTCAAAAATTTTTTGGAATATGCTTTTGTCAGGGATTGAGTTTGGCGTGAAAAGTGGCATGCAACGTATGTCAAGGTTAGGGATGGGATCAGATTAGAGGGCTACATTTTCGAATTTTCGTTCAGGGCCAGCTAGAGAACGGGTTGAAAAAGTCACGTGACAGTCGAGTGTAAAGTGATTAATCATCATCCTACTTTTTCATTCTTTGGGGCTAAATTTGCTCCTTTTCGACATCAATTTAAATATTCGTAGGAATATTATTCTCATATTCCTACGAATGTCGCACAGGGTTCTCTGTTAGGAACACATTGAATCACTGTTTGTATCTAT